GCCATCTCGCGATACTCCCTTTGAGGTTGCTGGCCCAAATGCCAAAAATGTTAAGTGCCGCCCTTCATTTGCATATTCAATTTGCCATTTTCTGTTTTTTGTCTGTGGGCTTTTTGTTGTTTTGGGCTGCCTCTTCATTGTTTATTTGTACACTTTTTTTTGCACGCTTCAGCTGCAACTGCGGCGGTCACTGAGGAAAACGCTAAATGAATTGCCCCAAATACGAGTGTTGTACGCGATGATCACGAAGGTGATGATGACGATAATGATGAACGTTATGCTAATGCTGATCGCTCGCCTGGAAACTACTTTGGCAGAGCAGCAGCCCAGGCAGATCAGTGAAGACTACACAGAAATATTGTAATTTGATCTCAACTTGTCAAATCCGAACTAACCTTATTGAATCTATTACGGTTTAGTAGGTGTTACGATAAAAAACAATCAATGCGATTATATATATTTTTGCAGTCAAGTGCTACCTATTTCAAAAATGTACAATTTATAAATGCAACATTAACATGCAAGAAATAAATATGTAATTCTAATTTTTATTGGAAATAAAATCTTGGAATTAAAGTTCAGTAATATGAAAATCATATATTTTCTGTAACCAAATATTGGTGGAGTTAAATGATGTGTTAATTCAATTTACAAAATTGCCTGTTTTAATAACTTTACAAGCTTAAAGCCTTTTTTTTTAATTTATTTATCGCTCAAAACATTTTTTTTCACTTTTGATTCACAGCTCTTCATTTACGTTATTTTTTCTAAGATCAACTATTGTTATTAAATACTTTCAAAAATATATGTAAATGTTCCCAGTGTAGCTGTGTTATTGCCAGAAGTGGATCAGTTGCCAGACAGAGATAGATTCAATGGGGGAAGGTGAAAGAGGGGGACGGGAAGAAAGAGCCACAGTCACGGTCACGTTTCTTGTCACGTTCTCCCGCTGTTTTTCGTTTCTTCTTTTGTTCCTCCTCCTCTGCTGTTTATACCCCATGATTCCAGCGATGTGGGTATATAGTACGACTTTTCTTATTCGCCAGCTAATTGAATGCCCATTTGAAGTCGACAAGTCCAAGGTGTTGTAAATTAAAATAAACCCAGACCTTAAAAAAACTATCTTTGTAATTTACGTTGCACAATTAAGCATCCTGAGCTGTTAAGTATATAAAGTATTAATTGTTAAGACATATTTTACCAAAAATCTGAAGTTTTTTATCCCAAAATAAAGCATGGTTGGTTATGCATTTTCTTTCATTAAAATGTCGAACTGTTTTTAACATTGGAAACTATTTATATAGATAATATGGATTATAAAAGAAAACTGGTTGTCATGTTTTTGCTGGGTACTTTCAAGTCGAAATCCCCACGAACTTGTTCTTATTTGTTCATTTCAGTTTTCCATGTTGTCTGCTGCCCCTCTTGCCAATTTGCTTTTAGCCATGTTGCTGATCTTGTTGTAGGTTGTGCCGATCTTGTCGTGGCAGCAGCAACAAAAGCAGCAACAAATTGCGCCCAAGTCTCTGGCTTTTGCTTGGCTTATTTGCTTGTTGCCTGCTTTTCGCTGTTTCTTTTTTTTTTTCAACTGCTCAACTGTTCAACTGGCTGCCTGTTCACGCGACCCATTGGGCGTTTGACCTCGCCGCTTGTGGCATGCAAATGGGTTCAAACTTGGACTTGCCTCTTTGACTTGCACTTCCACTCGCCTTCACATTCGCATTCGCAGTTGCAGTTGCAGTTGCATTTGCATTCGCATGCATTTCCCCGTTGCGGTAAATTTGCTGGAAAAACGCGCGCCAAAAGTGACAGCCGGCGGAGGAGCAGCTGTCAACTTGACTTTAGGCAGCTGCCGCCAAAAGTTGCAGTTGCCGCTGCCGCTGCCGCTGCCGCTGCCGCAATGTTGCCGCTGTCATTGCACTTGGACACTGGCAACAAGTAGCGGTCGCTACCAGCACAAAACGGAAGTATCGTTCAGCTTTTTTCCCTCGGTTTTTGGGTACACCATCGTACCCTCACTTTTTATTGACGAAAAGTGGGAAGAACCCAAGGCAGGAAGCATTTCCCATGTTATTTCTTTTTAATTAAACACTGTGGATCCGGGGGATCGCATTTCTGTTCATGTCTTAAAAGAAAGCATATGCTACAAAAAGAAAAAACATTAACACTTTGGGGCTTCGGTATTTAAAATATTAAATTACCTTGGTTAAATGAGAACAAATTTGTTGAAAACACAATTTACATATTTTGGGATTACTAAATTGCACAGGCTATGCTTTCTTATACCAACAATTTATAGAGAAGTAATCCACAACTTTAAGAGATTGCCTTTTTGGTTTTAAAATATTTCCAAAAAATCGGTTTTACGAGTAGCATTAAATATTTTTTATATGGAAACTGCAGTTTTTTTAAAGATGAAAAATAATTAATCAAACTAATATTTTACCCATTTAAATATTAAATATGCAGAAGAGATCAGAGTATTCAATTTCCGTTGACAGTTTCTCATTTCGCTTTTCTCCCCGCTGATTTTTATTTTGAAGTAAGTGAAAACGACGTCGTTAAACGCACATTTTGATTCGATTCGTTGTCGTTTTGGTTTTGGGTGCCTAGCCCAAACAATTGAGTGAAAATCTGCATCGAATCGATGATTTACGGGCGGTGACCACAGGCAGTGATTTTTGTGTTGACCAGAGTGACTTCGGCACAATATTTTATCGACTCGAGAGAGACTGAAGAAAACCAGACAATGGGGCGAAGAAAAAACATAAATGCCGCATTCGCTCATTGCGAGCACTTAGCGACTCTGAAAGGCTGCCACTTTCTAATGCGACAACGATGCGGAAGCCCACTGACGACACTCGACTAACAGCAACAACAACAACAGCAACAGCAACAGCAACATCAGCGACGCAGCAGCAACACACCTGCAACAGCAACAGCAAAAGGCAACATCGACAGCTTGGGAGCACAACCCCAAAGACCCTAAATGCACCTAAAAGCCAACTCAGTGACCCGAAAAAGCTGGCCCATCTACCCCCAAACAGCCCCAAGTTGGGTTCCCTTTTTAACTGCAAAATATGGAAACAGGTGGCGGAGACCCTGTAAGTGCTGGAATTATGAATGCAGGGGAAGTATTTAGCCATCAAATGGATGCTGATTGCTGTGGGAATAGTTCTCGTTTGAAAGGTGAAGATGGAGAAGGCAGCAGAGTTCATTGTATCTTAACGTTGCAGGTGTACTATTTCGTAAAAGAAAATCCAATTTAAAGAACTTTTTCAAAATATAATCACATTAATATACATTTTGATGGTTTAAAACTGTTGCATGTTAAGCGAAAGTTCAAATTAAAAAAGTTGTAATCTAAGTTGTAAATCCAATGAAATCAATTCATAAACAATATTTTCTTTAAACATACTTCACAATTCAGAAGGCTTATTATTTTACAAATAGGAAGACAATTTGGTTTAGTTTTGCCAAAAAATTATTTCGCGAGATATGGAAAATATATTTCGGTTGTGTTATAATTATAATAAAAGCTATTTCAACCTGTTTGCTCTTCTTGTGGCAACTAAGTTTGCACACTAAAAAGGAATACGGCTGTATTTTAAAAAAGAATTTATTAGTCACACTAAAAAGAGGTACACTTACCACTATTCATTTGAGCCCAGCTGTGTGTGTTTATTGTGACAGTAAAAAGTTGTTAATTAGCCGACACATCCGTCTATGCATTTGCGCAGAATATAATAAACAGGGCTGAAAGTGAGTCCGTCAAACACTTTTACTCTCGATGCGTTGTTTTGTTTTTAGTTTTGGCATTTTCAAAAGCGATCTGAAAACCGCAATACAAAACAACAAAACAGTCAACGAACCGAAGAGGAACCCGCAGCCAAACCAACTTCGCTGTCGATGTCACGCACAATAATCGGTTTAGGTTACGCTTCGATCCACTCTGAACCACTCCGCATTACTCAGAGGCACTCTGCAGCCACTTTGGGCCACTCAAAAACCACCCAGCAGCCCAGCGCACCACTCGACGTGTGTGGTTTTGAATTGTGGATCGTTTGGGCAGCGCGCGATCGAAGGCAATCGGATTATGCAAACAGCGGATCTGTCTCCTCCGATTTCCCTCAAAGATGCAATTCACGGATGCGGGCGTATCTTGTCGTACGTGTATCTGCGTTGCACGCCGCAATTGCAACTCATTCGATTCGCCGCCGCGGATCGAAAGTGAGTGGCATTCGGTGTGCGGCATATTCGATTACATGCAGCTTAGAAGTTCGGGGCGTAATTCGAGCTGCTCGATCACTTCCTCCGTTTCGTGTTACCCGATGCACTCTGAATAAAATTAGCCCAAGTTCGTTCTTTGAGCTTCACTCAATCGAAGCTTACTCGATTTTCAAGTAAATACTTTTTAAGTAACTTTCATTTAAGAGCTTAAGTCTGGGGAACTAAAGTCCTAAGACTTTACATACCGATTATATTATATGTTTTTTGGTTGCAGATTTCTATTTGTTAGATAATATTCCGCTGTTATCCTTTAGAGGACTTATAGTGAAATGATATAGTTTTTTAAATGGAAAATCAATATGTACTTACAATTCTTTTACCTATATTCCTTTATTGCTGAAAGAATCTTACTTTGTTAATAATTTAATCAATGTTTATTTATGCATTTGGTACACTCTCATAGACTTAACTTAAAAAAATATATATTTACAATGGGTTGCAGTATTAATTCTTTATAATTGCAATTTTAAAAGGTGTTCTTTAAAAATTAATGTTTCTGCAATTATTTTGAGCCTAGAGAATTTGAATTTAATACGACTTTTATAGCTGACGTATTCATAAAAATATTAATGATCAATAGTTTGCAACATTTTGTTACATTACATTTGTTGTTTTCAAAAACTTAGATCTTTTCAGTGCATATTATTTTCCTGAACCCAACTAATTAGGCAGCTGTTTTAATCCCACGATGTACTTTCTTGTCCTTTCAGAAAATCGATCCCCTGACTCGCATCCAGGAGGAGATCAAGGAGGTGGTGCGACGCGAGGAGGAGTACCGCCAGCTGGCGACCCTCTCCTCCGGCAGCACCATCACCTCCTCCCCTTCGGTGGAGTTCGAGACGTACACGGTCAACGGCAACGGGCTGGACTTTGAACAGAAACTGGACCAGGATCAGGATCAGCAGAATGAGGATCAGAGTCAGGATCAGGGACAGGGAGTTCTGGTGACTGCCCAACCGGTGACCACCTCGCTGCTGCTGCCCATCGACGAGCTGTCGAACACACCATCGCTGGCCTCCAGCGTGAACAGCGCCAAGGAGGAGAGCCTCGATGGCCAGCACTCGGACGACTCCGGCATCTCGGCCTCCTCGCAGAGCAACATCATCAGCGCCGTTGGAAATAGCAACAGTGCCACCAATGCGGCCAAGCAGCCGCTCAAGCTGACGGTGGTGACGCGCCAGGAGCAGCGTTACATCGGACCCAATTGCTATAACTTGACCCCTGAGCCGCCGCAGCAGAAGCTGATCACCAGGACCATATCGACACCCCAGCTGAGTGGCTTGCCGCAGAAGCGACAGTTCGCTTTTGGTGGCTCCACCAAGGGAGTGATGCAGCGATTTATTGCCTCGCATGGCAAGCTGGCACCCACCAGCCCCCTGCCACCGGCCTCTCCTCTAACCCTCTCCCTGGCCACCAATGGAAATGGTTCCCCAGCTGGTGGTAACAATGGTGGCATCGCCAATGGGCAGAGCAACACCCTCAAGCTGAACACCCGCACTGCAATGGCCTTCTTGGAGTCCGGCAACTCGACGGGCGGCATCACCTCGGTCACCCTCTCGCCGGCGGCCATCGAGCGGGACTCGGAGGGACGACCCCTGCGAAGGGGCTACGTTCCCGTGGAGCAGAAGATCCAGCGCGAGCTGCAGGACCTCAAGTCGCGCGAAACGGAGCTGAAGCGCCTGCGCAAGATCAACAGGCAGAACACCCTCAAGGCCTCCCTCGACAAGCTGTAAGTCCATATATCTAGACATTCATTCTAATCATTGATGTCGTGTTAGCCTATTTTATGGGGTTTCTTAGTCGAAAAATAATTGAGAATTCTTTTAAGCAATCAATTTAACGGCAACTTGTTGAAGTCTTAAATTTATTGCTTCAAAACGTTATTCAAAACATTATACAATCCATTTGTTTGGCTTCAATGAGCAATTTTCTATTTCCGACCTTGTTTGGGGCAAGATTTAGTTCTTTTCGAAAGGAAAAACTCCAAACACAATTCAAGAGTAGAACAAAAATAGACAAAAATCAAGTGTGGGTCCACATGTATGGTAAAACAATAATAGTAAATAAACAAAATAAAATAATACGCTTTCGCAGGGTTTTAGTCCAAAGTTATTAATAAACAATAAAGCTTTTTTAGAAATTCCTGTATTATCGAAAACATTTCCATTTGTATTTTAAATTAATTAAGTAGAGTTTAAAGAGACGACACTACGAGATTCTACACTATAATGTTAAGATGGGAATTAAATACAGAGACTTTTATATTACTTCAACTTATTTATATTAACAATTTCTTTGGCAGACAACTCAGCACAGACGACGAGGCCGATGCGGATGACGATGACGAGGACTCCGAGGTGGAGCACTGCTACGGGCCCGGAAAACTGCGCAACGCCCAGTCCACGCAGGAACTCGATAGGAATGGGTGAGCTAAAGCTACATATACTAATTCAAGCAAAGTAACTAAAATGTATATCTTTGCAGAAACGAGCAGGAGATCGTCCACAAGCCGTCGGGTAATCGCAGCCTGAACGCCTCAGCTTACATTGCCAATGGAATCAGCAATGGCAACGGCAACGGAATGCGGCCGGCGATGTCCTTGGCCCAACTTTGTGATCTGACGCCCGAGGAGGCGCCCTCGTCCCGCGGCCTGATCGCCCAGTGGGAGAGCCTGATCAAGAAGAACGCCGAGGTTGGAGCGGTCGAGGCGATCATCTAAAGAGCTCTCGGTCCGGAAACCCAAGGCAAACGATGGGAAAACAAAAAGAAAAAACAAAAACATACACACACCAACGATCTGGTGCAGAGCAGACCAAATTATTATTGTAGTGTCCACACCCACACACTTGATCCTCCCACTTGATCCCCCTACTCCCACTTCACCTCCCCCAGCCTGCGAAAGCTGCTTATCAACGAATTAATCTTAATGCCAACCGATGGGAATTGAAATTATAACTGAATTGAATTGCCTGTACTTAAAGCGATTAATGTGTAATTTATTTTGTGTAATGCGTACGTGAACTGTCCGCGAACTCTGTTGTATATATAATTCTTCGCGTTTCCAGTGCGAGTGCAGTCGACTTGCTTATAATTTATTACAAATCAACTTTATATATACCTTATATAATACATATATATATAAACAAAATTCTATATGTACGAAACCAATATGCGAAAACGATTTAATAAAATAAAAAACTAAAAACTAGTTCGACAAGAATTTTCATGATTCGTTTATAGTCCATCAAGAAAGGAATATAATATATTATATACCTACCCTTGCAGTCATCACAAATGTTCTAGTTCAACATCGAAGTAATGACGATTTTCCATTTTACTTAACTCTGGTTCAGCAGTTGCGACCTACTATGAATTATGTTCGAGTGGTGGCTCAAATCCCTAAATTCGATGAAAGAGTAGTGACCACATTTCCCAACCTAAATTGGGTAGATTTTCAATTTAAGACACGGGGCGGACATAAACGCCTAGCAGGGTGATATTGCAATTGGTAACTTTAATTTACCAGTTGCAACCTACTGCGGATTATGTTTACCTGCATTTTGAAATCTTCATTACAGTCGAAGCAACCAAGACCCGAGGAGTATTTTTTGTTAATTTGGACATCCAAATTGGCAATTTCTGAAAACGAAATAACAGGCAAACAGAAATGCCTAGAAATCGGCCAAGGCCAACATATTCAACCAAAGCTCACTATGAAGGACCTCAATCCCCATAAAGTATATATAATATATTCTACAGATATATTCAATATATTCATGATCAGCATCAGGATTTGAATCTAACTAGACGTGTACGTCTTTCATCTGTTTGTTATTTGTTATTTTCGATGTACTTTTTAAAAAATAGGTTACATAATTTTACATTTTACTCAGGACCGTTTAAAATCATATTTATATGCATATTAAGTTTATTCCTTTTTTATGTTTTTGCGGTTTCATTTTTAAGATGACCCTTTAAGAGATTCAATGGCATTTAAAATCCAGTTCCGGAAGTAAGGGACACCTGCGAAGGCTGCCAAACTATAGCAATATTCAGTTCCGACCGTTGAGGCAACACCGACAAGCTGCTGGTCAACAACCAAAGGTCCTCCAGAGTCGCCAGAACAAGTCGATCGTCCATAAGAATAGACAAAAATGTTATCCTTCCGCGAAAAACTGACTATCTGAAGGTCTACTCCTTGAAGATGTTCTGGATATTCCTGCATTTTCTTTCCTTTAAAATTTGTTACTCTAACTGCTCCCCAACCAGAAGCCTTTGCAAGAGCCCCAGGTGAAGGATTCTTTTCGGCTAAGGGGATCCTCTGCACTTTGCTGGAGAACACAAGTGGCTCACTTAATCGCATTACAGCAATGTCGTTTACATATCCATTTCTGGTGTAGTTCTCGTGTGATTTAATTGCTGCCACTCCGATTAGAATTCCGTCGCTGTTTTCCAATGAAGATCCTACGCGGACTGTGAAATTCTTGGCTTCAATTTGTTCTTCTTTTTCGGTAAAGCGGCAGTGGGCAGCAGTGATGATAATGTCCTTGCTGTAAATGGAGCCACCACAATAATGACGTCTGTCAACCTGTAAGGACACCTGCCAGGGAGCGTCTTCTATTTCAATATCTTTTCCACCGATGATGCGTTCTTCCGGTTGGGGAACTCGTCCTGCGGACAAGAAGTTGATTGCTGATAGCAGAAGAAACCACTTGATGAACATCTCGACTAGCTTGGTTGAATTTAAAGACTTCAATGTTTTCACTACCGGTAGCGAAAGGCTTTTATAGGCCACGAATGACATTCTTTTTCAACCCATTCTTAAATAACCAATTGGTTTTAAGATAAGAAAATTGAAAAATTCCAAACGGAACGGAGTTTGGTTAATCCACAGCAATTTTTAAAAGGTATTTAAAAGGATTTATAGGTATAACCCTTCGGCTTATGCAACCAGAAATGTTAATTATTTTGTTTACTTATTTAAATTAAAATTGCAATTATTACCAATTTAAAAAATTTATATACTTTATACTTGATATTTCCAACCCAGGCATAACTCTTCTATATTTTGGGCTTTAATAAAATTTAATTCAAAATTCGACCGTAGTTAGAAAACACCATCTGCAAGAAATCAAGTCGATATGATAAAAACAACATAGTAAATATTTTAAAGGCTATAAAGCCTTTATGTATTTTATTCGACACATTTGACGACTGCAAGGGTATATCCCTACAATCTACAATCCTTTCTTGTTTTGAAAAAAATTTGTCCATGTATTATTTAAAATTGATAAACGAGATTAAAATTTTAATTTATTTTTCAAGAATACTCACCATGCTTCTTGGACAATAAACCGATTTTCTAAACGGATTTTGTAAAGCCTAAGAGTATGCAACTGACTCCATTCTTTTCCACCAATTGAAAGTAAAAAGACGTTAATTTTTTGGAAATTTTTATATTTATTTTTATTAAATACATTTCGTTTGTTTCGTTTGTTGTTACGGTTTCGGTTTGTTAATTTTCTGTTACGTATTCGCTCTGTACTAATTGAATTAATCAGATATTAGGGTGCCGTAGATAGAGAGCGCCTCTAGTTGGAGTACAAGGTTCGGTTAGAGTAAGCCGGTTCAGTTTGTTATCCACAGACCTACGTAAAGTACAATTTTATACACAACAAAACGGAAGCGATCGACACTCAGCGTTTTTTTTTTTTTTGCACTACGATTGCAAGTGTAAACGGTGCCCGAGTGCTGCGATTATCTTGGAATTTGTCTTGTGTTGATTTGTTGGTAGTTTTTGGTTTTGTTTGGTTTGGATTTGTTTGGTTGTCTTTTTGTTTGGTTGGTTGGTTCTTTACTGCTACGGAAGCCTCAAAATACATTGCTATGTAAGTCGTTTATTTATGTGGGTTTGCCGTTTCTATGTGAAGTTGAAATCTTAGCTTAGAAATTGTATTGCAAATAAAATCATACCGACTTGTATACATCATTTCTGTTGTGTCGTGTTGCGTGTTTTTTATACTTTTTATATTTACAAAAAGCCGTTTTCAAACTGGCCAAAATGGAATGGTTCAACTGATTCGCTTAACTATGGACAATTCGGGGATTTGGGGGAGTTAACTTAGAGCTAAATTAGTTAAATCATAGATACATAACCGAGTTAAACGTATTCGTATATTGCACTGCTTCGGATTGCTTGAGTATTAGAAATTAGGCAACAATCAACATATCGAAAATAAGATAACGCGCTGATATTCACACGGAGATTCACATACTCGTACATATGACTAGAATAATACTTTGGCACACACATATAAACATAACTCTGGGTGAGATACTGGAAATCAGTTGTATTGCTCGGCGGTACGAAGGTTGGAACAGAAAACTGCCAGAAACAATAGATAATTAATTAATACATAGTTAATTAGCATCCTGACTGCCTGACACTTGCTTCTCTCGGAACTGGAACCAAAAAACCATTGACTGCTCTTTAATATCGTGTATATATATATATATAGATGTATATATAGAAATATAAATAGTAAGTATATATCATTTGTTAGCATTCATAATATATATATATACTCGTATGTATATATATATAGCTAGTTTGCCCTTCGTTCGCCACTTAATTAGAAACTAACACTTAAACCGACATTTCATATGCGTTGCTATATCCTTGCCATAATCCTTCCCCATTATCCGATCCCATCCGATCCGATCCGATACGATCCGATCCGATTCGATCCATTAACCAAAAGCGCTTTGAGCGTTCTATTTCGCGTACCTCTGACCTACAGCTAAGACAAAAAAAAATGTAACTCGCTCCTTGCTAAAGTTAGTTCTCATATATATATATATATATATATAGATACTTTTTTTGTTCGTTTTTCCATTCGTTTTGGTAACATAAAATTAATCAACAAATTTTTAGAGTTGCTTGCTAAAACTTTTCTTAGTGTAAACGTGCCCTAAGCGTTGTGCCCACCAGCCGCCAGCTACCGTCTTCTTTTCCTGTTTTCTTGCAGTGTAACCAAGGGAAACGGAGTTTTTTTTTTGGAATGGCTAAAGATACTTAATCTGAATAATCATCAAAAGGACAATGCTGGGCGGTTTGGGTGGGCGATAGTGTGTGTGAGTGTGTGTGTGCTACGGAAAGCTGCATAATCGCTAAGTGTATTTTGTTGGGAGTTTTCTGTGTGTGTGTGTGTGCGAGATGCAGTGTATTTCTACCGTTAAATCGCTAGACAAACGGAAGGGTTCTTTGCTCCTAAGTTGCTCCTAACTCTGATGCTCGGTTCGGTGTAAACACATCTAAAAAACTGCTGCTCTCTGTTGCATCTGTAGCACTTTGCCTAGTACCTCTATCTCCATTCGCATTTCGGGTCGTGTACTACATGTTTCTAGCAACTGTCCTCGTCAAGTGCTCTTGTCATCCGTTTTTTGTTTCACTTTTAATATATATATATATATATATATTTTATGGTATATGCCTGCGCACATATGCTTGTATATATCGTCTTGCTTGTATATATGCCTTCTATATAAATATCGTTTGTTGTTTTGTAATTTGCTGGTATTGTCTGAATGTGCTACGTACTTTAAACGCTAAACTAGTTCGTGTGTGTGTCAGAGTGGTTGGTTGTGTTATCTTTTCTTTTCTTCTTTTTTTTTTTTTGCTAGTGTGTAGACCGACATACAAAACTCGAGGCAGGGAAAAAAAAACATGAAAAAATTGCCACCATCCTTTTACAACTATCGCGTAATATAACTAGTGCATACATGTTCACATAGGTTCCTAGGTCCTCTACACGCTATTAATATGTTATTCTGTTTGGTTTCCTCCGCCGGACAATCTCCTCAATCTGCGTTTATATTTGTTTTGTTTTGGAGCACAGAGCTGGAGCTTCTCTAGAGCAGCTGGGCGATGACCGGCTCGATCAGACACATGTGCTCGGCACCGCGAACTGGCAGCCGGTTGAGGCAGAAGTGCCGGATCATCTCCGGCACCGTCTCGAAGGGACGGCTGAACTGGCCCAAAATATACTGGCCCGTCTCGTTCCGCTGGATCCGCATGTGCATGAAGCCCTTGGCGCCCCTGAAGGATAGAGTTTTATATGATCATCTGAGCATGATCAAGTTTAAGGTATTTCCTTACTTGAGTGACAGCGAGTAGTCCTGCTTGGTGGACTCGCAGTTGCGGACCAGGAAGGAACCCTCGGACAGCGGACGAAGCGTGGTCTCCGCTTCGACTCGCGTTATGGCGCCATGGTACCAACTGAAAGATATAGTAGCACCAAGAGTTAATTACTATTACCGAATAAACCAAAAACAAATGAACTTATTTACTTCATAATTATATTTATTTTGAAAATGAAAATATAGGTTGCATATAAAAATTTTCATAGGGAACATTTAAGTATAGTTCAATTTAAGTTCCGTGCTTGGAATTCTTTTTGATTTTTTCTTTATCAACTGATTTTTTCTTTATCAGGTCTTTATGTGCTTTACAGAAAATATTAAAGAATTTTCTATGGCGGCTTTTCAATTGTTTTTTATCTTAGTTCTAATCTGAAATATTTTCTGGAAAACCAATACTTTATTCAAAATGGAATACTTTTGAAAGATATTTTTAAGCTTATATCAATTTTCTCTTATGTTATATATTTATATATTTGCTACACTTTGCCTGCCTGCTAATCAACCTAAAGTTTTCCCAACTTAACATCCTTATAAAAGGTAAAAATGCGCTGTATTCCCCTTTTAAATTATTCAACTAGTAAGTAACAACTCACCCCTGTCGCTCCAGTGGAATGGTGACATCGATCAAGTCGACGGCTGTGACGTATCCCTGGCTGAGGTTCATGTTCAGCTCCTTGTTGCTGTTGAGACCCCGCAGATCGAGGCTGCCAAACTGCTTGGTCGCCTGTCGCGATTCATTTAGGTTAAGGGTGAGGTTTTGCCGGAATAGTGCTGTATCTATACAATAAAGAATATGTATCAATAAAAGATATTCAAAGGACGACTCTCCAGATCAACTTACCCAACTTGCTGGCCAACTTCTGATCGTCGCGCATCGAGTGACTGGAGGATGCCTGCGAGATGCCGCTGGATTCGGTGCTGTGCATCAGCAGGTTGTTGATCTCCGCCTGGTTGGCCCTCAAACGCCTCCTTAGCTTGGGCATGTCGAAGGGCAGCTCACCGAGATCCACGGAGGTGGCACTGCCCGACGTGCAGGCCGCCTCCTGTTGCAACGTCTTGCGGCGCCTCAACTTCGGCATATCGAAGGGTAAGTCCCGCAGATCCTGCGGAATGCCAGCCGATCCCACTGCAGCTCCCGAACCGGAGGCACTTACTCCGGCGGTGCTGCCACCCGTGGCGGAACTTCCGCCCGCGGAATTCGTTCCCTCGGCTCCGATCAGTTGCAACTTGGGCAGCGTCAAACGCTGCAGCGCCAAAGCCTGTGGCTTCCCCTCCTCTCGCGAGTGCAAGGATATTCCACTATCCGAGCCCAAGAGCTCATCAGCCAGTTGCAGCAGAGCTTTATTGGGGGCAGCACGACTGCGCGGCTGCTTCAGTGAGGCACTGACCTGCAGCGTCCCCCGGGGGCGCCACTAATTGAGTCCTCCTCCTGCGCGGCCATTGGCGCTTGGGACGGCTGCTGCGATTGCTCCGAGGCTCCACTAGCGGAGGCGGGTTCCTGGGAGGACTTATCGGAGATTGGACTTAGAATGTGCAGCTTGGAGTGCAGGAGCAGTGGCGCCGGTCGCAGGGGGTAGGCCACACTGGATCCCCCGCTGCCGCCACTGCCACTCTCCGAACTGTGCGAACTCAGCGAACTCGAGTGGCGCGACTCCGAACTGGAGGTGCTCCGGTTGCCCTCACTCGTGCTGGAACGCAGCGATTCCATGCTGCCGCCACTGCTCGAGGTGGCAATGCTCTCCGTGCTGCTGTAGTTGTGACCACCACCGCCCGCTTGTCCCGCTTGTCCCTGCCCCTGGCGGTGCCTCCTGCCGCCGTGATGATGGTGATGGTGGTGGTGGTGCGACGCCTGCGATTGACCACCGCCTGGTGAGGACTGATTGTGATGATGGTGATGATGACCCTGGGCACTGCGTCGCAGCTCGAGCACTCTTCCCGATTCCAGGACAAAGGAGCGCGGTCTTCGCGCAGCTGCCGTTCCTGCTGCCGAAACAGAAGCGGATGCCGAACCCGAGGCGGCATTCGAATTGGAGTTGGTTGAGGGCGGATTCACATAGGCGCTGTCGGTGAGACTGTTGTCATTGCTGCTGCCACCACCACCACCGCCTCCGCCGCACTGGTGCCTCATCGATTGGATGGGCAGGCGGAGATCGCGGAGGCGCGGATGTGCCGGGTTGGCGGCGGGCAGATTGGGTGCACTCCGGATGCTGTTCATGTTCAGGTAGCGTTCATGCTTCCCGGGGAACTTCATCGGCAGCGGAGCAGTTGAGGGAGGCGATGGCGTATAACCGCGAACGGGCAGCTGCTGGGTGCTGGAAACACTGGCCGCTCCACTGCCGCTGGCGATTACCCCAAGATTCTCGCCCTGACTCTTGTTCTGATTCTGCTGATCCACCTGGCTGAGCTGGAGCTTGCTCAGATCCGCTTGGACCTGATGGACCTGGACATGCGCCTCGCCGGTTTGCTCCTGCAGCGCCTGGTTCTTTGAGTTCTTAGCCCGCTTGCATTCCGCTCGTGTTTTCGCGGAGGCGGTGACCTTGTTGAGATCTGCGGAATTGCCGTTGCCATTGCTCAGTTGCAGCAACACCGAACAGTTGGTGATGCGATCCACCTCGTCCAGATCGTCATCCGACTTGGCTATCTTGCAGTCGAAGGCCGTCTCGTAGATCTGCCGTCGCCGGCTGCCCATGATGTCCTCGGAGTCGTCCTCCTCGTCCTCGTCGCCGTCCACTTCGTCCTCCTCCTCCTCCCCGTCGTCGTCCTCCTCCTCCTCGTCGTCGTCGCCTCCGTTGCCGTAGAGAGCGAGCGTTGGATTGCTCAGCGCCGAGGGCTGGGCACTCGATTGTGGCTGGATTGAGTGGACTTGCTGGACAGGCTGACTGATCGACTGACTGCTGCTGGCTGGCTGGGCGCACTCGGCGCACTCGTGGACCCCATGCGGATGCACGTAGAAGATGCTGCGCGGCCGGAAGTACTCCTCCTCCAGATCATCGCCGGGCTCGCCGCCCCGTCCGCCGGCCAGCGAGGAGGAGGCAGGAGCGGATGTGATGCAGGCTCCGCACACGGCTGCTGGTCCCAGCAGGCGGTGCGGTGGCATCGGCTGGACCTGGACCTACAAATAAAAAACAAATATGAATTAATATTTGTATAGATATAGATTAAAATGTTATGTACTATTATTTGTAGTTTATTTATTTCCTTAACAATTTCAAACCTTTTTACAATGCGTACTCTAAAGTTCGCATTATATTTTTCAATTGATGCGAAATTCAATAACTTTGACGAATGTTAAATGAAAATCCATCTGCAATTATTATGGTTTATGTAAAATGTTGTTGAGCCCTTGAATATGCAAAGAAAATATAGCTTTATAATTCGTTTTTCCTCCTCCTCCTGTGTACACACAACCCAAGAGGGTAATTTCTAATAAACAGAGAACTGTTTCCAACAACTTATTATTCAAGTTTTATGTTTATGTATAACTTATGTTATACATTCTATTCTAACAAAACCCATGCCAAAACCCCTTTGGTTTTACGTCTTCTTAAAACACAGCCTGCGAATAACGGCACCGCAACATAAATGGCGCCCAACGTGTGGCTTCAAGCTGCTTTTGTTTCTTTGATCTCCCTCCCAGCTTTCAATTTCCCGTGTTATGTTTATATACCTGGATCTCCGCTGGAGCCGGTGGCGGTGGACAGCACTTGAGCAGCTCGCCCTCGCCGGCGTCGCAGTGCTGCAATTGCAGCTGTAGCTCACTGCCTGTGGGATTCTGACCCTGATTGGGACTCTGGTTCTGATTCTGATTGTGGTTCTGGTTGCGCGGCTGGACGTTACAGGTCTTGCGGACTAGGGCCAAGGCCCGGGCGTGCCACTCGCGTCGCTTGAGGCACTCGCTGCAGTCGGACTCCTCCGAAGTGCTGGTGCTTGGGGTCTCGCAGCGGATGATGTGCACTCCCTCCTCGGTGAAGCTGTACCGCTTCGGAGTCGACTGCGAATCCTGTGCGGTTCGGAGGTCCTCCTCCTCCTCGTGGCTCTCTGCTTCCGGCGGTGGCTGTGGCGGCTGCTGCTGCTCCTCCGCCGGTGGAACATCCAAGCTAGAGCTCTTGCGATAGCCACCCAATTGAGTTTGGGTTTGCTGCGGCGGTTCACTGGCCGTCGACTGGCGGCACTTTAGCTTGAAGTCCTCCCTGTCCTTGTCCCTCTCCTTGTCCTTGTCCTTATCCTTATCTTTATCTTTATCCTTATCTTTATCCTTGTCCTTATCTTTGTCCTTATCCTTGTCGCGACTCTTGAGAAGATCGGAGTAGTAGTATGGCGATGGCTGGCGCTTGTTGTGCTCCGCGGGCGCAACGGTCAGTTTGCGCGGACTGCGCTGAAGTTGCGGCGGAAGCGGACGCACCAGGTCATCGGATATCGAGTCCGGGGAGTTGAGACCCGCCGCTGTGAGGGGAGCGGACTGGGCGGAAACCTGCGGCACGGGCAGCGGCTGCTGCTCGACCTCCTCGTCTATGTCCGCCTCGTCGTCGGAGGACTTTGGCGCCGACGAGTCTGCAAGTGGTACAGAAAATGGATTTTTATTTCAATTGGCTTGTAAATAGTAAATAATATTTTAAAAAAAGTTATAAGTCCATCAAGTTTAATACGAACACAAAAAAATGTTATTATATTTTTGTTGAATTTCAATTTATCCTTTTCATGTTCAAATTTTTTTTTCGTAATATTAATTTATTCAATATTATTTTGTTAATATTTTGTACCCATAAAAAGTAATTGAGAATAATACAGTTTCCTAAAAAGTCTAACATTAACCAACATATTCACTGCATAAAAGATCAAATTTTGTAAACGGGCTGCCATGAGCCTAGTCTTTAAATTAATTAAGATACCTCGCACGTATTTGCCAAATAAAAAAAATCTGGGAAATGAAAGGACAACGTCGGGTTAACTTTGGATGGAGTGTGTACTTTTCCCCTTCGGGGGAGCTGAGAGTGGCGCTGACAGATTCTAATTAAGTCGCTGCGACGACTCTGCGGCGCCGCGGGCCACGCAATCGGAACGCAAATGGAGTTGACGCAGTCTATTTGGCGCTTGGCTGCCTGCTGGCTGCTGCCTTCTGCTCCCTTATCTCCGCCCCCGCAGGATCCAAGGATCCAAGGATGCCAACTGTAACTTACTGCAGTTCCCTCCTTTCCCTCCCCCACTACTCCTCCTTCTTTTGGATACCTTAATCAGAGCCTGCCATTTTCCATTTTACGCTTGGATAATCGAAGTCGCCGCAGCGGGAAAAGTTGTCCCGCCTTCGGCTTTTCCTAATTGCTAGCCACTTGCAATGGACTCCTCGCCAGGATAGTACAGATCCTTGGACCGTGAACGCCTAATGAACCTGCAGCTGAACCTAATTTAATTACTGACTTAAAGTGGTTTGGTTTCAGTTGAGAATACCTACAGGTTTTATTTACATTTGTTACTAAATAATATTTAAACAAATAATTCTAGTAATTTCCTCTTTTTCCTCATTAGTTCTGTTTTTAAGATTTCAGACATTTAATTGGACAAGTTTGTTAATAGTAATTAATAGAGTCAATTAAATCTGATGACTTTGCAATCACAACCACTAATTGCATTAACATTTACTGCTATGTTTTTACAATCCCGACTTTGTATTGATTTTTTTTTTATATTGAATGACAATTGAAATTCCCACCGATTTAACTAGGTTAATAAGCAATTTATTTGCTAATTGCTACTGTGATTTCTATCAGTAATTTGCATTAAGCTGACTCACCTGAATTATATTGACTGTTGCGTTTATCCTTCCTCAAGTTTCCGTTGTTGTTGTTGTAGGTGGAATGCCGCTGTTGCTGCAATTGTTGTTGCTGCTGCTGCTGTTGTTGTTGCTGCTGGGAAGTTCTTGGCGTTGGCAATGACTGCAGATGTTGCTGTTGCTGCTGCTGCAACTGCACTTGCTGCTGTTGCAAGTGGCGCTTGTGATTGGGGCCAGATCGCTTCTTGGCCTTTTTATGATAGACCTTCTTGTGATTGCGCGTATCCTTCGGATCCGAGTATCCTTCGATCAGCTTCACCGATGCCTGCTTAATGTTGCTGTTCGGCAGCGGCGGGTGTTGCAATGTTGCACGTTGCTGCTGCTGCTGCTGCTGGTGTTGCTGGTGGTGTTGATGGTGCTGCTGAGCCCCCACTGGCAATGTATTGTTGTTGTTGTTGTGCGTATTCTGTTGGCTGTGTGTGTTGCCGCCGTTGTTGTTGTTGTTGCTGCTGCTCAAATGCTGGTGTTGCTGCTGTAGCTGCTGCTGCTGCTGTTGCTGTTGGTGGGTGGCCAAAATAGCAGCTGTTGCTGCCGCTGCTGCCGTTGCCGCCTGACTGGGCAATGTTGCCACAGAAGCGGGCAGCGGGGGCGGTAGTTGCGGTGCCGCTGCTGCTGCTGTTGCGTTTGCCGCCGCTGCTGCTGCTGCTGCTGCTGATGTTGTTGCTGCTGCTGCTGCTACTGCTGCTGCTACTGTTGCCGCTGGTAGCTGCAACGCTTGTTGGGCTTCGCCGAACGGCAGCTGCCAACGAGAAAAGCGAAAGAAACAAAACCAAAAGGGGAAGAAAAAAGAAAGAGAAGAGAAGAGGAGAGGTGAGGAGAGGGGGCATTAGCATTTGTTGGCGGCTAATTTGATTTGCATTTCAATTTCCAATTTGTTTGGCATTTAATTGAAAAGAATAAAGGCGGCCAGCGTCGCGGAATGTGCGTCGGATTCGTTTGTTGCGGTTGTCGGATTTCCCTGGCCAACCGCGAACCACGGCGAAACCGCCAATCGAATCATGCCTCCCCGAAAAGCAGGCAACACTTTTTAAGCCACCTTCACATTGCCTCGGTGGCGTATACGTAACATGTGCGGTTTATTTTTTAAATCAAATAACTTAGTGAAATTTAGTCCGATGGTTGTAAACAATTTATTTAGCTTAAATTAAAGATATTAACTATACTTATTTGTACTCCAAAATTATTAAAATTTATGAATATATACGCCATTAAATATTAAGTTTTGTAAGCCAAACAAATATACAAGTTAAGAAAGGTTATGCTCTTAAATCCTGAAATGTATTATGACGTGTATATTCAGTTTCAAATAAGACATCAAACATTTCAATGTGAAGTTTTTTTCAGTTAGCTGAGTACATTAAATTGAAACTGATGGCCGTATGTTTGCTAAGACAAAGGAACAACAGAATTCCCCTCCTATTGGACTGGACTCGATTCATCTGCCATTTGTCTGGATATTTCCCCCATGATGGATGGATTTCAATTCCTATTGCCCTTTCTCCATTCTCCCATTCCCTTCAGTCAGAGTTTGTTCATAACAATTCCATGTCAATCACAATATCCGTTCCTCCTGGTTTGCCCAACCTTCCCCGCATTTCGATGTACTCCGCTCGATCCGCTTCCCTTGAGTTTGACAAATAGCTGGACATTACGGAACTGCAACATCGGTGGACATTAACAGGATCCTAATGTGTGCAAATTATGAGGTCGACCAGCCTACTCTTGGCCTGTCTATAACCTCATGGCAAATCCCACCCCAGATTCCGTTTCTGGCCATTATGTTAAACATAAATTTCCGTTTACACGGGCCATGTCCACTTCGAAAGCTGGAATGTGGTTGGGTTTCGTGGGTATCCTATGCATCCTGTTGCTAGCGGAAATTGATGTTTGGCCGGTGGTACAGGCAGCATTGACAACTCTGCCGCAGGGTTGCCATTGTCAACCGGCAACTGCAGCTGCACTCCGGCATAGGAACATTTTTTAATTGAAACTCATAAATTACGAGGAGTAGAGAGTCTGAATCAAAAAAAAAACATTTTTAATGAATTTGAACTTGAAACCGAGTGCTGCTCCAGCCTCCTTTATACAACGAAGCCCCCAAACAAAAGGGGCACAGACACCAAAAGGGGGTTTCCAAGGCAGATTGATAATGCGAGGGGTTGGGCCCATTTTAACCCGGGGAAAGCAAAACAAGAGGGTCTTCACCCACCAAAGTGAAGCCATCCATTCACATATTCCTGTTTAAATATTTGCCTTTGATTATCCACAAACGATATAAGCAGACGTTTATGTGAGCCCACATATACTCGAATATATACGTATATGCATATAGTACATTCTCATGCACGATTGCCCCCACAAATCGGACTGGAATAAGGAACACGGTGGTTATCTGGAATAATGAAAACTGTTGGAATCCATTCACCTCCTCTTCCGAATCCACTTGTCTGCGCTTGTTGCCGCAGCAACGTGATTTTTTGTGCCAACTTTAATGAAAGAGAAAGAAATCATCGTGGCACAAGGAGGTTGGGTGTCCTGTCTGTCTATCTCACATCTTTGCCATTCCCATTGTTTAGCGACTAATGCTGATGACGAGCTATATTCTCCCGTTGGACATCCCCCAACAATTTAACCCACACTCGGACCGCCGAGTAAGCTGCACTGCGAAACAACAAAAATCTAAAACCTACAAAAAGTGTTCCTAAGATGAAAAAAAATATGTATCTTTGTGGCATTTAAATAAAAAGATGAAAACTATATTTTATTTTTTTAACTCCAATTGCGTATGAAGTGTATAAATAACTAGACAATATAAAAAGTATTAAATGATAAAAGCAAAAAATAAACAGAAAATAAATTATAACGCAAATCCACACAGGCAAGTACCATAATAATTTTCACATTTTTCACTATTTAATTGCAGCGCTCAATTGTTTGATGTGTGTGAAAGAATTAATCAACTCGTTCTATTATTTTGTAGTGCAACCTGTGACTACTTTTAGTTGAACCAACTGATGCTCTGTCATGCAATGGAATTCAATACCTGAAGCGCAGACAACGCGGCGTATGAGTGATATCTAAACTGACGCTGTCTCTTCGTTTCACTCGGCTGTTTTGTATTTTGTTTGCAACAAAAGGGAGGGGGAAAATAAATTTATGTACATAAAGAAAAAAACCATAGCCAAGTTATTGAAATAAACAAAAAAGCACGCACACATGGACACAAAACGTGGCCAGGACACGCGGCCTTTGTGTTTGTGAGTTATCGTTGAATATTACTCCATGGAGAGTAATAGCAACAACTGGAAAAGCCAAACGAATTCCCCCCCATTCCCTTTTCCGTTCCCGTTCCCATTCCAATTCCCGTCATCTTGCTCCTGTTTTACAGGACCCACTTCACAGCCAGACGCTCCACATATATTCACATAACATATATCGAAATGTCGCGTTCGCTCGTTTCCATTAAAACGTGAGTTGCCACCGAAAAAAAGAAAACAATGGCCAACACACAAAAAAACACACACATGCCTGGTGAAAGCTATTATGGCATCATCACATGGATGCTACACTCTTATTTAAAAGAGCTCAAGTTTTAAACTTTAAAATGATGATTTTTAAGATTCAGAAACATTAAAGATTATTATTAAACCTTGAACGGTGAAATCTTAATATTTTGTATAGTTTTACGCAAAATATTGTATTGTTACTTAAACAAGACAATACTTAAATAACTGATCTTTTCAACATTAAACATATTATTAATATCGAGAAATAATAAAAAAAAGTTTTTATCTATTGTTTCTCCGATATTGAAAATTTTTATTGTTTTAAATATATTTACAGCACTGTTTAATATTTTTTTTAAATTATTTATTTTAAATAAATTTCTTATATTTTGTGTGCTGTTTCTCTTTTCCTTTTTCAGCTTTTTATTCCTTATGCTGCTCTACTGTTTATGGCCAACAAAAGTCATAAGATAAAATTACATTAATAATTGTGAGGAGACTCACACGCACACGAAAGCACACACACACACACATTAATGTGCAGCATGGAAAATTCAGGCGGAAAAAGAGGGCTAAAGAGAAAAACGAGCATCGAAAGGCGCTAAACGTTATCGCTTTGGGCCATTTGCTGCCGGAATATTTTTTTCTGGGGAAAAGGCCGATGGGGATTATATACATATAGAAAAAACGGGAGAAATTTAAGGAAAAGATGTATGAAAACATTTATGATCCTCTAATTAGCTGGTATCTTTTCATTCAATTTACCTCGCATTTTAATGAAATATGGCATTGCTTTTGGCTGAAAAAGCGTTTCAGGCTACTGATTTTTGTAAAACGTTTTGGCCTTTTTATAAAGATAATATTTTTGTGTATTTGGGTATTCTTTACCATACCAATAACATATCTTTGAATAATATGTAAGCTGAATAACTTCGATTAAAGTTATTATTATCTAAAAAATTAAGTTTAAGATATTCTCTGTATAACTTTTTTAGAAACTAATCAAATAAAACAAGCTTATAAAAAAAACCAAGCAATTCAATTGAATTAATGAGCTCGGCAATAAGTGAAAGTGGGTACTTAATTCCATGCGGAAGAATATTAATCCTTAGAATAATATTTACACCACTTCTGATTGCTATGCGAGCAGTTATTTGTTATTAACTTTGGCAAACACTCTGCTCCAGCTTATTACCCTCTGTTTGAGTTATTTCCTCCCCGCTCTCCTCTGCTTTCTTAAAGATTGAATCCTCGGCACTGATTTAGCTGCTTCACCCTCGGAATTGTATCAATCTGCAGAGACGCCCGCCGAAGGTCGTTGCCGCAAATCTTATTTCTCATGGCCCCCCAGCCAACATTCGCCATTTGCCATTTGCCATGTGCCTTTGGCAGCACATCGCATTCCTCGCCGGGCTAAACAAATTTCAATAAAATGAATTTCAAGTGGCAAGTGGATGCCCTGCTCTCCTCGTGATTCCAGTGACTCTGTTGTTTCGCTTTCAGCTCTCGGTGTTTTATGCGATGTGCGCGCCTCATGCGGCTTTCCTTTTCATTTTTAGTGGCAATATGCAAAGGGAACAAAACACGAAATATTTCCGTATGGGCCATAAAAAAGCGACTCTCTCTCTGCCCGCTGGGGGTTTTTTTTTCCGGGTTCCGGGGCTTCGGAGGTCGGAGGCTCGGCGATTTTTTGGTTTTTGGGGCATCATTTGATTTGTGGCACGGCGCAGTTGCTGCAGCCCGAGGTTATCTCTTGCTCTATCTCAGCGGCTTTGCGATACGTTTCCCCTTCTCACAGTTTGGGTTCAGTGTTGGGAACTCAAGAAGGCAAAATACAGACATCAAATAAATGAAATGGAACAATTTTTGACTAAGTTCTTATTCAAGAAGTCTGACAAGAATTCTAAGCAAAGGTCTTGATGATCATGAAACCCCAAAAAACATTATGATATCCGCAATACAAACTAGGTTTATTGTCCTCCTAATTTTGATGTTTAGTTAATATATAACAACTAATAATTTATATATTTTAAAAACCTTTTAAACAAATTTATTTTTCACGAATTTTGTTGGATCTTCTTAATTCCAAAAACAATATTTAAGAAAGAGGTTTCAAATTTCATTATAAAATATAATTACAAATATTTCTAGTTCTTCATTCACAACGAAATATAAAGTGAACAACAAATGTACCAATAAATTAAAATTAAAAAATTGTACCTTGAATATCAAACATAGAAGATTAGTATTAATAGCCTATATTATTACACTGATTTTAGTTTTCGCTCTCTGAGTTTGGCTAAAAACTCGCTGATTTGTCAGCAAAACTTGGCCATTTTCGTATCTGTGTCCGTTTTTTATGGCCAGCCACCGCCCGCTGGGCAGCTTTGTTGTTTGTCATTTAGCCCCGCCTTCCCCTTTGTTTGTTTCGCTTATTTTTCGCCTTTTGCCTTGGCTTTCCTGGTTCTCCTGTATTTTTTTTGTTGTTGTTGTTGCTCTGTATTTTTTTTTGCAATATTTAGCCAATAGTCCGTGCATTGTTTGAACAGCGCTTTGTTTGTTCGCCTGACGCTGCAGGATAAGCCAAGAGGAGGGAAGGGGGAAAACGGCGGGGAAAACACGGGGAAATGGGAAATCAGACGGGGATGGAGGAGGGAGTGAGCGGCTTTTCATTAACGCACTGCCGATGCGGATGACGTCGATGTGACTTGTCCAAAAGCCCAGCCCACCACTCGATTCGCTGAAGCGTGCAGTTTATCAATTAGCTGTCCAGAGCAGTCAGTTAATTGCCACCCAACCACTCAACCGCTCAACGAACCACCCAACGAACCACCCAACGAACCACCCAAAGAGCCACACACCCAACGAGCAACCCACTTAACGATCCAAGGACTTACAAACTCGGTTTGCGGACTGGGGGCAATCCAGTGCTCGGGATTCGCTGGTATCGCCTCCGCCAGGCACGGATCGAAGCTGGACGGTCGTTTTTTAACAAAGTCTACGGGCAGGCTGTAATCATCACAGATGGCAATCTGAAATGGCAAGGAAAAAGCGAGGGATAAGTACTGTTATTAGGAGATACAGAAAAGCCACAAAGGCTCACACTTAAGTGATGGTAAAAATAGTACGAGTAATAATAACAATAAGCGGCTTAAAATAAAAAATGATTATAAGTCAGGGTTGTCGGTTATTGGTTACTCAGAGATTGTATTTTAAATTTAAACTATACTATACGACGAACTTGAAGAACTTTCTAGTTCAAAGTTTTAATTTCAAAACATTACATTAAGCAACAATTTTAAATTTTTGTAATACATAGTTACAAGTTCTTTAATATTCTGTAGAGAATATTTTCTACTTTTACCTAGTTAAAAGGAATAAACCAGACTCTTATACGAGCCCAATGCTTTTGTGTATTTAAAACCCTCAAGTTGAAACCTCAAGAATAAATCCACTCACAGATTGACAGAAATAAAAGAAACCGTATATATAGATCAATTTCTTGGCTATTTCAGAACCTTAAAATACATTTTTGATGGCTTATGCCTCGGCACACAAACACATACCCTTGAACCGAGTGAAAGGCGGGGTTATTTCGAAAAGAAACCAGCGAGTGCAAGCCAGGAAAAACAATAACGAACGCCGCGCGACACGTGCACCTCAAGTGCGTGGACCACCACCTCCTCCTCCGCTTTTCCCTCTTTTCTCGTACGCCCCATTTTCCAGCCCACACCCACTATCTTTTGGGGGGCCCAAATGCGGACTCTTGCCATTTGGCTGAACGTCTGCGTCATCAAAAGTGTACAACAATGGCTAAATTACAGTTACAATTAAAAATGGCGACGATGCTTTTCCAGCTGGTTCTTTTGTTGTCGCTTTTTCCCCTCGTATCGTTTTCAGCGCTTTTTTCCAACCAGGTAAAAGGATCCGGGTCCAGATGATGCAAATGTAGAAAAGCTTTGTTGCTGTTGATACTGAAGGGAAAATCTTGAGTATTGCAATTAACGTTAAGTGGTGGCAAGGGGAGGGGGTAAGTTCAGAAAGGGGGTGGGGAAAGGGGAAGGGGGAGGGGAAGAGCAAGGGGAAGAGCAGCAAAGCTTAGCACTTGATGGAAACGAATCGAGATGGATTAAAGCGGGCTACAAATTACCGGCTTAAGCCAAACCTATTTCGGTTATTCTACAAGATTCTCCTTGGAAACCCATTCGGTGCAGCAAGTACAGTAGGTGGCAAAGCATCGAGAAGGATGTTGCTTCCGCTTAACTTAACTTTGAGCACTTCAACAGCTGAGTTTTTGCCTTGAGTCTTGAATTTCCGAAATTTATCTTCGCTAAAGTAAGTTTATTTAAGCTTATTAAGAAGGAAAGTGTACACAGGCTCTTTTAACTTTGGAGTATTTTCAAGGAAAATGTATAAGCTACGTTTTTCAAAATCATTTTCCAACTTATGCTCAAACTATAAAATTTTATTCATATTCCCCCAAAATCAATCTAAGATGCAAGACAAAAGAATATTCTGGCACAGATTACAAAAGAGATTTTTGCTAGCTTTAAATGTATTCAAATGTAGTTCTCATTATTAGCTCTTTAAAATTCAATCTTTTTATTTACTTGAAAATTCTTTGAAAAGCATAAGCCATTTAATGAAAAACAAATTGCGTACAAAAGTACAGTTACGCATTTTGTTTTGAGTTTAAGTACACACAGCTTAGATCTTTTTAGAACCATTGAACAGTTACCAGATAAAATGAATATTCAAGAGCACAAATCCTTGATTTGAGGCACTAATTAAAAATAGAACGCAGTTTTTCCAAGTAAAGTAGCTACACCTCCGTTTAGCCTAATTAGGCTAATGTCATTATGATTATCTTATCCCTTGGAGCAATCAAAGCACAAAACATAATTTAATTGCCTGCTGGGGGAAACTTGTCGCCATCCTCGTCTTCGTCCTCCACAAGGTCATCGAGGAGCGAGGACAGAACACACGCCACAAATTCAATCAGAGAAGAAAGTTTCCGGGCAGCCAAGCGCGAATACGCTGTAAATCCCAGGACGACAAAATAGAAGCGGGAGACCAAGGACCAAAGACCAGAGAGCACCTGCATCTGGAATAGCACTTATAGCTACCTCGAAGTACACTTGCAGGCGATAAAGTTGACGACAGGAGCGGCAATACCATTCCAGACCGGAATCGAAGCCACGGCCGTTGGCCAGGATGTGCGCCACATCCCCGGTGACATCGAGGCAATTGCGATGGAAGGGACGAGCACAGGGACCCGAGCACTCCACCCGCGGCTCGTCCGCATTAAAATCAATCCAGCAGAGACGACAGAACATGTTGCCAATAATTTCAACCCACAACACTTAAGAAAATTACAAAAAAAAAAAACCAAAAAAAAAACCGAAAGCCAGGGAAAATTCACGAAAAGCAAGGGAAAATTCACGGAAAGCGAGCGTCTCAGGTGTTGACATGCGAACGTCGTACTGCGAAGTGAAATGATATATAAACTGGGCTAGTCGTTCGGTCCACGGAGTGAAAGGCCAACTATGGCCAACTTTTGTGCACAGATGTTGTCGCCAATGTCCCGGGGCCATGATGTGCAATTGAAAGGCCAATTCAGGAGGAGGAAGGACCTCGCCATGGCATCCTGTCCGGTTAGTGCACCCAGTGTCTGACTCTCGAGGTGTTAACATCGTCTGACATGGGTCGGTTTGTCTGTGGAATATACATTACAGCCAGCACTTATTGGCCAGCGTTTAGATAGTTTAAGAGACCTCAGAAGAGAGTGCTTAGGAAAGTAAAAAGTTCGCCATTACAAGTTATAATGGTGTGCAATAAATTCATCTGAAATAATCACTTTTAAAAAATTTAGAAGGGTTATTATGTTTAAATTGAAAAATTTAAACCAATAAAATAATTTATTGGAAATTTATAAACAATTTCTTGGATTAATAATTGTTTGAAATTGACATTCAAAAAGCCATTTGATTTCTATTAGAACTTTTTTTTTAATTTCTCAATTCAAAAAAATATAAATTAACCTTGTATGCAGATTTCTTTCAAAATATTATGTCACCAACTTTTAAGGATATTCCAATAGAAAATAAAATGCCAATAAAACAAGTTACAAATAAAACGAAAGTTGTATACTGGATTTTCTTAAGCAAGTTAATTTCTTGATATTTTAATATGAAAATGGAAACTGTTCATCATGGAGATGTCCCAACAGTTTCTTCCACTTTTCCTTTAATCAATTTGCTGTCAAGAAATCAACGAAACATCAGTTCAACTCACTCTGTAATAAACCCCAGAAGAGCCCTTCGAAATATGTACTACCTACCTACGCAACGCAAAACACAGTCCTGTGGAAAGCCACAGAAGTGGTGCAAAATTGTCTGCCCCATCCGTTTTCCCCAGTGAAAGTTCCGCGGCGAGGAAAACCCGACTGGCGGGAAAGCAGCCGCAATGCAAAAGCAAAACCAACGGCAAAGGCAAAGGCAAAGGCAAAAGGCGATGACTCACCGGGGGAAGCAGTGCTCATTGGCCTGGCCAACCGACGTCGTGATTGCCACTTTTGGCTCACGGCTCTTTTGGGCCAAAAGCGAAATGCGAAAATGCGAAATGCAAAACGCACACACCCACAGCACAGGGGGAAATGGAAAATGAGGGAGGGCAGATGGGGGAGGGGGAGGGTAACCTGCCTCATTGCCTCTGTCTGGCTGAGTAAATATCATAAATTTTAAAGGCGGCATTAATGCGCTCGTTCCGCACAAGAGTTGCAGGTAAAAGCTGCATCGGCAGCCTTGCCGTTTTCGGTGTCGCCTCCCTTTCTATATATTTTATACGTTTTTTTTTTTTATACGTTTTAATTCTGGTTTCCTTTCTGCATAACCGCAGGCACTTTGGCACCGGGCCCACTGCAACGAGTCCTGTGCTCCGTGCTCTGTGCTCTGTCCTTTCCTGTCCTGGCCACATGTTGCCCTTGTCGCCGCCAACTGGCTTTTGTGTGACACATTTTGGCCGCGCAGGAAATGATGGTCCTCCCCGCTTCTTGGCCCTCTTTCAAAGTTGGCATATTGCGGAGATTGCGTTGCCACAACCAGAAATCTCCTGCATCTTGTGGCGTTCTCAGTGCTTAGTTCTTGGCGCTTGGTCCTCTCTATTCTGCGCCTTTATGGCTCGCTTTGATTTTTATTAAAATGGCACCGACAGGTAACAAAAGTGCCGCCGGTCGTGGGTGTTTCTATCTCCATGTGCAATGTGCAATCGCTTTCTGTCCATATTGCTCTGGTGACCTCAGAGCTTAGCACTGAATAAATGGCTGGATTCTGAATGGAAATGTCAGCCAGTTAAATGGCGCATTATGCTTGTAAGTTCTATGGCCAGATAAATTCTATTTGGCTTACATTCTTTTCATTTAAAAATAAAATGTAGTTCGCCAAAGAGTATATGTAATCTCCACGAACACAAGGCGGAATATTCGTGACGATTTCATAAAGTTTTCTCTTACAAAGGTTTACTGATTTCTACCACTTAACGGTTTTGCTGATATAAAAACCAAATCTTTTAAAATAAATTCTAATAAAATCATGATTCATTAAATACATTATCCTAACTGGTTATCTTATCTAATAATTAAAACTTTACCGTAAGTAAACTCATCAAATCTTATATTTGGAAATATTCCAAATATATCCTAAATTATTTAAATACTTAAATAGTTATCTTTTCTTGTAAGTAGTTAACCTCAAATACTTTGGGGGTCAAACAGTGATAAACATACAAATACTACGATTTAGTCTTTAGTAATCCATCATAAACCCATTTCCAATGTACACGCCAATGGTCAAGCCATTTATAAGCGACAACTCATGTGACAACACCATCAAATGTGCTTCTACCTCAGTTAATAAAGTTGCCACTATTTGAATAATCAAGTTATCTGCCATCTTAATTGAGTTAAATGGAAGCTAACCAAGGTAACTTTGGCCCAACTTTCAGCGGCTAATCTTGGTACCCTTGTCACTCTGTT